TATAGTGTGAATTCCAAGACAACAAGGGCTACACCCCCCCCCCCCCCCCGCCAAACAACAACAGCAACAACAGCAACAAAAATGGAGTCACTACCGCCAGTCCTCTCATGAACAGCTAAGACCGAGGGAGTGTAGAGAAGTGATCCCTGTACATGGACACCTGCCTGGCCTTGAGTGTTCCTGTGTGGGGTCTGTTTCTGTTATTTGTTTGGACATAGGCCTTTTCACCTCAAAATTCAGTACTATAAAGGGACACTGAGGCAATGTAATTGTCCTGGAAACAGGGAAGGCACTCCAAAGAGACACTGTGCCTCCCTGATTGGATACAAGGAGATTGAATCAATGCAGCCCAGAAATAATTGGAATCTCTCCAGGAATTCCATGCAGGCAAAGGGAAGAGACTGAAGCCTGGTGCTGGACTGAAGAAAAACTTGGCTCCCCAAAAGATTCAGAGAGTTCTGGTCACGTATCAGATCACTCTGCAGGAGACACTGGGACAGAGGGAGCCATGGCTCAGTGGTGGGCACGACCACACCTTCATCAGGACTGCTTAGTTTGCATACTTCCTGCTTCACATTTAAAATTCTCATGTCAGGACCCTGAATAAGGAGTAGAGTGTCACTGGACCCCATTATTTGTTCCTCTTCTGAATGAGGCCACATGGACTAAATCTCCTTTCTCTGCTCTCACTCACTATGTAGATAGGCCAGACTGGCCTTTAAACTCACGGACATCCACCTGTCTCTGCCTATCGAGTGCTGGGGGAAAAGGCATGCATCACTACACCCAGTCTTTCCCTGCTCTTCACTCTTGTCTGCCAGGCTTATAGAGGATGAGTGGCCAAAGTAGAAGTTTTTAGAGGTCTCAGGGCCCAGACTCTGACCCTAACAATCTCCCCACACACAGAGCATCCCTGCCTGTATGTTATCCTATGAATAGCTATCATGTGGGTGTCTGGGAGACAGGAGCAGAATTTTGAGGAGCTGAGGTGTCAGGAGACAAGACAAGTTGTGGGTCTGACTGGTGGATTCCTGG